ATGGACAGTCATTTGGTTTCTTTTAGTCTTCGAGAGGGCTGAAACAAGGAGACCCATTATCCCTGACTATGTTCATTATTGCAACTGAGGTATTAACAATAGGACTCAACAACTTGTATGAAGATTTAGATTTCAAAGGTTTTGGGATGCCTAAATGGAGCCCTGAAATCAATCATTTATCATATGCAGATGAAACCATTCTATTTTGTTTAGGGCAATCATCCTCAATTAGAAAGATGATGCAAATTCTAAGAAAATATGAACTGGTTTCAGGATAGATGATTAACCTGAACAAAAGTCTAGTCTACTTACATCACAAAGTTCATATAGGAGTTTGTAACAGAATAAGAAGGCTCACTGGAATTAGGCAAGGGTCCTTCCCTTTTATCTATTTGGGATGCCCCATTTTTTATGGAAGCAAAATAAATCACACTTTGAGAGTTTAGTCAAGAAGGTAATGAAGAGATTACGCTCTTAGCAGAACAAGCTCTTGTCCTTTGGTGGAAGATACATTCTGATAGCCCATGTATTGCAAACAATGCCTGTTTATTTATTGTCTGCCATGAAACCCCCCCCCCCCCTCAAAAGTGTAATTGATCAATTGTATAAAATTTTTGCAAGATTCTTCTAGGGTAGTGCAACTAGAGCCAGAAACAAACATTGTGTATCATGGGATAACATGTGCTACCCTAAAGAGAAGGTAGTTTTGGGTTTAAGGTCATTACATGACATATCCAAAGCTCTATTTGCAAAGTTATGGTGGAACTTTAGAACAACTACATCATCTCCTCCCTGGGAAGTTTCATGTGAAATAAATACTGCAAAAAAGTTCATCCAATTTTGGCAAAAGGACAGGGAAAATCACATGTGTGGAGAAAGATGAGTGCTATTAGGGAAGAGGTAGAGCATAACATCTGGTGGCAGCTTAAGGATGGCAACTCTAGTTTCTGGTTTGATAACTAGACCAAACAAGGAGCACACTATTATGTAGAAGAAGATAGTGCAGTTAATGAAGAACTGGAGGTAAGGTCTTTCAGTAGACATGAAACCTGGGACATAGAAGGCTTGAGGAGGGCACTGTTTGAGGAAATGACTGTATATATTGCGAATCATATTAAGCCTCCAGAAGATAACCACAACAATGATGCAGCTTGGTGGATGGGAAATTCAGAAGGAGTTTTCGCAGTCAAGTTAGCCTGGAATTTAGTAAGGCACAGAAAAGAAAGAAGAATGGACTTTGATTTCATATGGGCAAAGGGATTGCCATTGAAAATCAATTTTTTTGTTTGGAGGCAATGGCTCAATAGAATTTCCACTGATGACAATCTGAAAAAAATGAAAATTCAGATTATCTCAAGATGTTGGTGTTGTGAAGTAAAGGCAGATGAAACCATGACACATGTTTTCCTAACAGCCCTCATAACCAAGAGGTTATGGAGACATTTTTCTATTTTTGCAGGTATAAATATGAATAACATGCACTTACAACAACTTATTATACAATGGTGGAGTCTAGATGCCAATCCTAAACTTCAGCTATTGTATAGAGCAGTCCCAATAGTCATTATGTGGACAATGTGGAAAATGAGAAACAACTTGAAACATGAAAAAACTGTTACATTTGAAAACATGGTGGAGTAGGTAGAAGAGATGTTGAGGAAGCTAGTAAAAAGAGTGTATCTTTGGATAAGACCAGAAAAACAAAATTGGCCACCTAGTAGAAAAATTGCAGAACTATAAGCCCAAGATATATCACCACAGTGTAGTTTGGCAAAGGCCAAGGAGAGACAGAGTAAAATGCAATACAGATGGTGCAAGTAAAGGTAACCCTGGAGATAGTTCCTTTGGATTTTGCATTAGAAATCTTACTGTATGCAAAGGCAAAAGGAATTGGAGTGGCAACAAACACAGAGGCTGAATCAACGGCAATCTTGGAGGCTTTGCAGTACTACATGGGGAAGGAACTGGTGGGAGTCATAGTCAAAACATATTCCTTGAGCCTAAAAAAGATGATTCAAAAACAGTAGAAGGTACCATAGGAGCTAGTAGAAAGGATTGAGGAAATAAGAGTTTTTGTACACAAGCTACAAACTTCATTAACTCATACATTTAGAGAAGGAAATTGTGTAGCTGACTCTTTAGCAAATGAGGCGGTTGAATCATAAAGCACAAATGAATGCAACATCTTTCAGGAGCTACCAAGTTCAATCAGAAAACATTAATTTAGATAGAGCACAGGTACCAAACGTTAGATTCAAGACAAGAAGAATCATAGCACCAGCATGTTGATAATGTGGAAGAAAAGGATAAACAGTCAAGAACAGATACAACAGTCTGAGAATAACATCGAACAAGAATTGTAAACATCGAGAAAGTGACAAGAGAAATATTGTGTTACAGAAGGTTATGACTATAATTTTCATCTACCAAATGCCCCATCAAGTCGGGTCACAGAGCTTTAGAGATATCAAGTACATAATGAAGCGAAATAGAGAGGACAAGCTCAATGACTTACAAGATTAGAGGGGGCGGAGCATATACTAATGGCCAATTGGACAGAATCCCGACCATCTGAGGAGAAAAGAGAAAAATAAAGATATATGTCAATAATATATACGATAGAAACGACAAGGAAGAAGAGGATTGAGTCGTACCATGAACTAGAGAGTAGATTAGCAAAGCCACTAAATTGGTGGAGCAGCCATGAAAGAAGAATCTTTAAATTCAACCTGCAAATACACTTATGATGAAGAGAGAGTAAGCTTCAAGACAAGAGCACTTCAGCTGGAGGAAGTACAACAGTGGACTAGACTAGGGAATGGCTTTTAAAAACTTTTCACCTCTTCTTTTGGGCCGGGTCTTTTTGCTGGACTTTGGTCATTTTGTTTTCTTTGTTTCTTCCTTTTTTGTAGTGGGCCGTGCCTATTAGGCTTATGAATAAAAAGGTCTACGGACTAAAAATTCACTTAAAAATAAAAAAAAAAAATGTCAACATTATAAGCATCAAGGTATCAGTACTAAAAGGAGAGAAAGGATGAAGAAGATAAGATAGAAGTACATAGAGATCAAGAGAGAGAATGAGAAAGAAACTGAGATATTGAGATATCACGTTTAGCATGCCTTATAGGAGTAATGGTGTTGAATTGATGGAGAATATTCATTAGCCATGTGGAATTGCTAATGAATTGGTGAGTTATAATGGTGAAAAGCTGACTACTCTTACATCTATTAATACTAACAGGGAACTACAAGTTGGTGGTAGTTGTACCTTCTTAAGACGCTCCGAGTTTACACCCTAGACGTGGACGACATTTGAAAATCATTATTGGTCCCTAAATGGATCCTTAGTCTGACTGACTATTTAGTGGAATACTAACTCAAGCAAACATAGGCTTAAAACTAAAGAACATGTAAAACCATTAACTGAATCATGATAAAACTGTCTGAAAATAAATGATAAAGTTTAGCAAAACATCTGAGAATGAATATTGAAAGATTATCGAAATCTATTTATCTACGAAGCCTCTACTATCTAAAGATAGATGTCAGGACAAGACTCACGACGACATTTAATCAAAACTACTAAAGAAGTAACAGATCGGAGTCCTCCGAAAGCAAGGAGGCCTCACCAAAACTAACGAGTGAGTGATGTGATCTCAACGATGAGCCTGTTGATGATCTTGAATACATGTACACCTGCATCATGAAATTATATAGGTCGAATGACGTTTGTAATGTATAGTATGCAATAAAGCCGAATGAAAGAAATAACTTAACTGAAGTAGCTCAACTGAAGTAAAGCATGAACATAACGTAAAATAGTTTAAGCTTTACAAAATAAGATGCAATAATAGCAAATACTGAAATATATATCTACTTTACTTTACCAGGGAGTTATTCTAACCAACAACCATCACTATGAGTCTCATGATGATACAACGTCTTACCTACGTTGCCAGCTATACCTTGTCAAAGTATAGAATGCAACTTTAACTTATGGATCCACTAAAAAATGTTCTTGAGGCAGGTGAGGAGTCGCTCGTCTTGCGGTGCGATCCTATCTATACTGACGGCGTAGGTTATGGAGTTTGAATTATCTTAACTCTTACCCTAAACCAGTGACTAATGCCACTACAAAAATATAGGTTTGTATGCTTATATAAAATACGCATTGGGTTGAGTTAATACTCAAAAGACCCTCTTTAAAGGATAATTAAACTTTACTTTATCCTGAAATGCTTATGAAAACTCTTTATGCTTTTCTTGAAAACCACTTTCTAAATGTGAAAAATAATACATTGGAGATCATTAAAGTTCCCTTAAAACTCTTCTCAATAATGCTTTAAAATTATTCTTGGACTCTCTTTAAATTTCCAAAATTAATGCAAGGAAAATAATTGTACAAAGGCTTTCAACGAAATCTCATCAATTAGGGTTCATGTGAAAATATGAGCATGAACAACAACTTAGGATTTCAGTGCATAAAATATCATATCTCATAATTAAGAAATCAAAACTCGGAATAAAAACATAATTCAAATTCATAATTTCATGGAACTTTGGGTAGAACACTGAATTTAACTCTTACTGACCGAATTTAGATGTAGGGTGTGACATAAGACGCATGCATCAACTTGTTCAATTTTATACAAGTTAAAGTACCTTTAAATTAAAAGGGGTGATATTAAACTCACCCAGAATTAAATAAAAATACTAGTAATAATTAAAATCACTAAAGATTACTCTAATGTTAAATTCAAAATTAATGAATAGTCAAGATTACTTTAATGATTCAAAATTAATGAATAGTCAATATTAGTTTAATTACTACGTTCTCTCTAGTCAACCAAACAAGTAAAGATAAGACTTCATATTAATGTTAAATCCAAAATAATTGAATACTCAACTATTCTAAACCACTATAAATAAGCTTTCTACTATAGTCATTCATACATCTCTAACAAAAGATCCCCAATACATCACCAAGTACTCAAGAAAAAATGGCAAAAATTCTTTTAACTTTGTTTTCTTTGGCTCTAATTTTAGGCCAAACAAATGCAGTTATTCAATGTGGTACTGATGTTATACCAAAAGTAATTTCTTGTGGAGGTTTTATACTAGGTGATGATGCAAAACCTAGCCAAGCTTGTTGTGTTGGATTGCAAGATTTGGCTAAAATAGCATCTGCCTCACAACCAGACCGCAAAGATATTTGCTTGTGCTTCAAAGCTGCAATGCAAGGTTCCAAAGTGAACTATACAAAAGCTAAACAACTTCCTGATCTATGTCACTTCACTCCCTTTATGCCAATGGTACCTAATCCTGATTGCTCCAAGTAAGCATTACTCACCCTTTAAATTTTAATGTTGTATAACTTGCGACAGTACCCTTTGTCGGAAAATTACATTAGGTAAAAGTTTATTATTATCTATATATATATTAATGTCGACACTTCTTGACACAAGGTGAAGAGCTAGTGCTAACGGTTGAGGGGTTGCAAAAGCTCTCAATCGTTGGTAGGTAAGGTGTTTACTATTTTTTGTTACACCCTTGAATTAAAATCCTAGCTCCAAATGTGATTTTATATATTCTTAATACACAGGCACTTCCATTTATGTATTTATTAGTTTTTATTTTTTTAAATTGATTTTATTATCTCGATTTACCCTTTATTTTTTGGATGTGTGATTTCAGGGTTATTTGAAGAAGTAGAAGGAAAATCATACACAATGTAGAAGAGATGTAGTCTTCTACAAGAATGATGATCGATGTTTTTCAATAAAATGTTGTCAATTTTATTTAATGACAAAATTGTCATCTCTATTTTAACTAAATAAATGATAGAAAATCAATTTTAAAAATTGTGTTTGATTGTTATTCGAGCTCTCCTTTTAATCTATATATGCATCAGATTGTCTCAATATACTGATAGTATAAATTAGTTATTATACGGACAAGTTTAAAAAATAAATACAAATAATAATTCAAACTGCAAACCCTTTCTAAGACGATAATACTTTAGTCACTAAAACATGCCACCTTTACCTACACACACTAATGCTTATAAATACAAATAAGACTTGTAAAGTACGTAATAACTTGAACAACAAATGACAAACTTAAACAACATACAAAAAAAAGCCTTTTAATTTATCTCCTCTGTCCCATTTTATGTGGCACCCTTTCTGTCACGTCCCGAGCATATGCATTGGACGTGGCCGGCACTTGAAAATAATTGATGGTCCTCAAGCAAACCCTTGTTCTAGCTGACTATTAAGCGAAACACTAATTCAAGCATACACAAGCATCAAAACTGAAGAATTGTTCAAGAACAGTTTATTAAATATCAAAGTTATCTGAAAATACTGAGTATTGAATATAAAGTTTTAAATGAAACATCTGACACTAAATATTGCAAGATTGACCAAGATTGTCTATCTATGAAGCCTCTACCGTATAAAGATTGGTATTAGGACAAGACCCATGACACCTCAAAACGATACTACTAACAAATCATAAAACTAGAGTCCTCCAAAAGTAAGGAGGTCTCACCAAAAGTTGACGAACGTATGATGTGATCTCAACAGAACTCCTATTAATGATCCTAAGTACCTGAATCTACATCATGAAACGATGCAGGTCGAATGACATTAGTACATTGAATGTACGAGTATGTGATAGTGCTGGATAATACAAATAACTTAACTAAAAGACTAAAAGTAACTCAACTGAAATATAGTATAAATCATTATGAAAATCATTTAAGTTGTTACTACAGGAATGCAATTATAGCAAATAATGAATTGAAATGTATATATAAAAATATAATTTTTACTTTACTAGGGCGGATCTCTACCTAACAACTATCACTATGAGCCTCGTGATGATACAATGACTTACCCACGTTGTCGAAACCGCTCTATACCTTGCTGGAGTATATGATGTAACTCAACTGCTGGATCTACGAAAAAAACCTTCTTGAGGCAGGTGAGGAATCGCCCGTCTTGTGATTTGATCTTATCTACCCGGCATCGTAGGTTATGGAATTTGAGTTATCTGTACTCTTACCCCAAGTTGGTGCTCAATACTACTCCCAAAATACAATTGTTTGCTCATGTAAAAGTACTCTCTAGGTTGAGATAATTTCTCAAAAGGCCTCTTTAAGAGGTAATTGAAGTCGTACTAAATGTGTCGGGAAACTCTTTATACTTTTCTGAAAATAGTACTCTCTTTTCAATGTAAAAATAATACTTTTGGAACCATCTAAGTTCCCTTAAACTTTTCCTGAAAATAATGTTTCTAAAACTATCTCTTGGACTCACTTTAATCCTCAAAATCAATGTAAGGGAATACTGGCTCGAAAATAATTTTAAAAAGAAACCCAATATAAATAGGGTTCGTGTGAAACTACAAGCATGAACAACAATTCAAGAATTTCAAAGCATAAAATATTTCAAATCTCATAATGTAAGGATTCAAAACTTGGAACAAGATCATAACTCAGATTCAAGAATTTCACAAACTACGGGCAGAACCCTAGATTCAACTTGCTACTGATTGAATTAAGATGTAGGGCATGAGGATGAACTAGTCCAACACTACGGATAGCTTCACATACCTGGAACCTTAACATATATGAACAAGAAGTATACCACCCGACCCAAGTTGATTCACTTACGACAATCGATTAGAATTCTAAGAGTAGAGTTGTGAGGTATTACAATTTCTTTTTTTGTCCGTCCTAAAAAGAATGTCACCTTACTATAATTAAAAATAATTCAACTTAAAAAATTTTCTTTTTGCCTTTAATGAAATGATTTTCAACCACACATATATTCCAGCATTATTTTAGATCTACCATAAGTTTCAAAAGTCTTCTTTTTTCTTAAACATCGTGTCAAGTCAAAGGGTGCCACATAAAACGAAACGGAAGGAGTAGTTCTTTACTTTCAACACTTAACTTCACAAACAACTCCTTGTCTTGATAACTATTACTTGGTAGAGACCTTTGTTATATTGGAGGCAAATAGTTACTCCAATTGTGGCCTATTATGATATCATTAATCTTCTTACCCACTATTGTGAACCATCCAGTTCTTTTACTTCTTGCAATGTACTCTAATACGCAGCTCTGGTAGTAAACATGTTAATGAACTGTTTTTTAATAGTTTTTTTTGCCGTAAACTTTATCAATATTTATTTGAGACATGTTTAATATCTATTTTTTGCATATGCTTCTTATGATGTTTAATCATTTCTTAATTATCAAAATTTTCATATTATTAGCGTAGCTTATACTTCCTCTGTCTCAATTTTTATGACTCACTTTCTTTTTTTCGTCCATTCCTGAAAGAATGACACATTTCTATATTTAATAACAATTTAATTTTAAAATGCTCATTTTACCTTTATGGAAATGATTTATAGCCACACAAATATCTATGACTTATTTTAGACCACATATTTCTAAAAAATAATTTCTTTCTTTCTTAAACTCCGTACCAAGTTGTAACACCCCAGAATTTTTTTCGAATTGAGACTCGAACCATCCTTCATTGTGAGTAGGATTATACCGAGGAAATTAAAATTTCTTGAGTGTTAAGGTCACTAGATGTAGCACCTTGAGTTTTAAGAAGAACTAAAGAGAGTTCATTCAAGTCATTCCTAAGTTCCTTTAAGTTTTGAGTCAACTTCAAACGACCATAACTTTCTATACAAGATGATTTAGGTAGGCTACAGGGTGCCCAATGAAAGGTCTTTGAATTATCTTTCCAACGCCACCAAGTTTTCTAAGTTTTGAGGTCGGATGAGTGAGATATTCCCTTTTGAAGTCAGGCTGTCCAGTTAACGAAAGTTATCCAAAAATAGTAAGGGGTATTTTGGTCTTTTCCTAACCAAATCAGATTTAATTCATTTTTAGTATTGTTTTAGGGGTCTAATCCTATTAGGTTCAGTTTTATAGTCCTAATATACGCCTAGGGTTATAGTTGAGAGTTCAAGAAGAGAAAAGAAGAGAAAAGAGGGGAAAAGAGGAGAGGATCAAAGCGTTCGTCAAGAGTCTTGCATTTTGTTACGGATTTTCATCATGGGTTTAATCCCTAAGAGATATGTAAGCTTCCATAGTGTTGGGTTAGTTCACCCACACGCCAATTATGTTATTTTCAGCGAAATTTCATTCTTGAAGTTGAAAGATTAGAGTTCTTGATGAGTTCTTGATAGGTGTTCTTGAAGTTCATTCTAAATCTTGTTGTGTTGGGGTTTTGATGATTTCTTGAGATTAAAGTGAGTGTTTTGAGGGCTGTATTGAGTAAATTAGAGTGTACTTATGTTAACTAATCGAATCCAAGTGATTGGAGAAGAAACCGTTCGATTATAGGCGAATTAAGGTGAGAAAACGAGCAAAGAATTTCGTCGGGTCTTCTGGGTTGGGGCCTGGTGCATAGCCCCAGGGTCGCCTGCCCGGTCCAGTTTGCAATCGGTTGCTCCGTTTGAGTTCGTTTAAAGTGCACCATCACTCCCTTTGGATTCTAACTACTCTAAGCTACTTCTAAATACCTAGAAATCATTAATAACGTGATCATAAACTTGAATTCATAATTCAAATATAAGGTAGAGTTAAGAGTCAAGTTTTGAGAATTCTTTCGAACATTCTAAGAAAGTCCCTTCGAGCCCTTTTGTGGAGTCTTCTACAACTTCTAGTAACTTGTTTCAAGACTCGAGAAAGTGAGTATGAGAATGAGGAGAATGCATTCATGAGTCTACTTTTTCATCAGGAGATCTTTCATAACATGAACCATAACTCTTGAATTCATAATTCACATTTAAAAGAGATTTAAGAGTAGAGTTCAAGGAAGCCTTCGAGTTCAATTGTGAATCCTATGAGATCCATCATCGATTTGAGTTAAGCTTTGAAAGTATGAGAATGAGAAGAGTCGTATACATGAGTTCCTTGTTGATATTTTGACCCTTGAGTCGAGTCGTTCATTCCCATAACTTCCGCATGAACTCCATCAGTTGAGTACCTTCGAGAGGAGTAGTATCTTCAAGTTCTAAGTTTTGAGTATTGAGTTCCTAATCCCCTGTGAAATTATATTTCTAATCATGGGACTATTACATGTTACCCATGAAGTCCTTGAGTTGAATTGTTCATGACCATAATTCCGCATGAACCCTATAAGTAGAACAGTCTTGAGATGAGGAGTATCTTTGAGACCTTGAGTTGAGTAGTTCATGCTCATAATTCTGCATGAACCTTCTGAGTTGAACATTCTTAAAATGAGTAGTATCATTGAAGTTCTTGAGTTCCAAGTATTGAGTTCTATCTATAGTTATTAAAAATCTTGCATTGAGTCATTCACGTCCATAATTCGGCATGAACCATATTTTAAGAAGTCTTTTACAAACATTTTAACTTTGTTTTAAGACTTAAGCTTTGAGTTGAGTAAAGAGTAAGAGTAAAGTTCATTTCTTCAAAGATTATATGGGAACTAAGTATTCCCAAGAGTTAAAATGTTTTCACATTTGAGCAAGAACGGAAACATCAATTTCGAAGCGAGTCTTTGAGCTAGTTTTTGAGTAATTATCTCAAATCACAAAAAGAGTTTTGTTTTTAAAACATATGAGATGAGTATATTTTGGGAGTAGTATTGAGCACCGATATGAGGACGCGAGTTCATAATAACTCAAGTCTCCATAAACCATGTAGCCATCAAGGATAGAAAGGATCATACTTTTTAGATGACTCATTAGTGCTTTTTAGAATAGACTAGTGGATCCACTTAGTTAAGGCGTTATATATGACGGCAAAGTATAGGACAGTTCTAGCAGCGTGGGCAAGACAATGTATCATCACTTAGGCTTA